GGACCCCGTCTGACCCACATGACTGTTTCCAATTTTCAAAAACCGAATCCAAGACCTTGGCTGTCCCACCTGGCACCAGCAGCATTAGATATATACAATTCACTATTTTGTTGCATATTCTGTCAACTGACAAGAGTGGATTTGCTGTTGTCCTCTATCATTGCAAGCTGATGCTAAGAAAAGATATCGCATGAATTTTTATTATTGTGGAAAGCACCATGCCCCAAAGTTAATTTAATTATCAGCTAAAATAAATCAAACTACTTTAACTTTTATGACCCACTGCATTTTTAATTATGCCAAAGTTAATTTGCTTTCCAATATCTCAAAGAACAAAGGTCTTCTGTAGACAGTTAAAAAATGCAATTAAACTAAATTGATCAGAATTAACATCTGCTACAGTAAACATTTCCAAACAGAGGTGGCCATTATCAAAGGGATTGTTCTCAAGATACTTGATGAGAACCCCAGATTTTAAAACTTTGGAAACAACATTTGAGGTCACCTAGTCTAACATTGTCATACTAAGACCCACAGAAGTTAGGAGTTTGCATAACTCAGGTTTAAATGAGTGAGTATGTAATGGGATCACACCTTTTTTCCTCCTAGAATACTAGTGCTTATCCAAAAAAATCATATTATTAAATCATTTTAATTTATATCACCATGGTTACCTTTTCTCTTAAAAGTGGACACACTGGGTGCCCTCCCCCAGCAAGTCATGATCTCCTTGGAGATAGTTAGAGAAGGTGGGATTCATGCTTAGAGTAAGGGTGACCTATATTAAAGGAGACTAATATGATAAGTGATTTATGGAATTAGCACAGGGGGTCAAGTTTCACCCTAAGGATGGAAACATTCAGAAAAAGATTTGGATGAGGATGAAAAGAAAAGGGAAGTGGTATTATTGTGCTTCTCAGTCCAAGGTGTGAGCTGGATTCTGGAAGATGCTTTCTTAGGTCAGTTTAGAAAACTTGAAAACATTTGATAGCAGCAATGATTAATAATAAACCTCATGGCAGTAATCACTTATTGAATTCACATGACATCAACTCATTGATTCTATTCAATAGCCCTAAGATAATCATTCCATTGATTTCCCCTGTTACAGAAGAAGAAATATAAGTCCACATGGAGAGAAACAAACACTTACCATTGTGCCTGTTATTAAGGTCCTCTTTAAGAATCTGACCCTCCCTGCTGGTAAGTCTTGCCTTACAGTCACTTTAGTCTTTCAGGGGAAGTTTGAAGCATTGAGAGGTGCTGTTCTAGGTTTAATACTGACCAACAATTCTGACTGGTAAAGTACAGAAAGCACAAAGCCAATGAGAAACTATTATCATCTGAAAGCACAGAACAGCTCTTGAAGAAAACTCTGGACCTAGTCATACACTTACCACAAAACACCAGAAATGCTGGATCACACACACACCATGGTAGCAATGGGCTGGTGCTCAGAAACTGTGAAAAGTTAGATTACTAATAGACATGGGAGGAGTGAAAAAATAAAACTAGCAAACAATAAAATCATTAACTATTACGCCACTTTAAAAAGAGGGGGAAAAAAACCCAAATAATGATCAGATGCAAAAGATGGAGCAGGAGCATCTCACGAGTGCTCAGAAACTGTGAAAAGTTAGATTACTAATAGACATGGGAGGAGTGAAAAAATAAAACTAGCAAACAATAAAATCATTAACTATTACGCCACTTTAAAAAGAGGGGGAAAAAAAACCCAAATAATGATCAGATGCAAAAGATGGAGCAGGAGCATCTCACGAAGGACAAATAAAGAATGGGATGAAACTCGAGAGCAATACTATAAAAATAAGATTCAAAATGAAGGTATGCGAAGAATAAAAAGAACAAAATAACTTTCAGAAAAGATGGACACATAGCTTGAGGAAGCACCTTGCAAACATGCCTGGCACAGGATAGATATTCAGGATGCAAATGCACCAGTGAGGACAGTGGATTAATAAATAACAGTAAGATGAACTCCTACTTTACTTAGCTTTTTTATGAAGAGAACAATTGAAGCTTATCTCATTTGTAAGACCTACTAATCACTACATAATAATACACATATCCAAGAGCAGAGATTAACTTGTTGCAAAGGAATTGAAGAACCTACAGTTATATAAAGCAAAACCGGGTCCCAAAAATAGGGACACTGCTTATGAACTAGAGATGGATATTCTTAACCCAATTTGTAAAAATCTGTTTTTGAAAAGAGTACATTCTGTAGACAAGAGACAAGCAAAATTATAGCATTAATTATCAGACGTGCTTGAGAACCCATAGAGAGTAAACCAGTGATGGCAAGCACATGCCAACCTTAGCACTTCCTTTTCTTTATTAATACTGGAAGACTGACACAGGAAGGGAAAGCCACAAACATAGTAGCAGCTAATGGAAAAGCTGCAGGTGGACAAAAAATGAATAAAATAACCAACCAATGCCAAATAGTGTACCTCTGTTTTGTGTAAGCAGAGTGATTTTTGCCTGCCCCTATTCAAAATACTTTGCACCACAAAGTCTTAGAGAAAGATAAAGACATAAGAGACAAGCTGATTAAATATGAAATACAAAGCAGAGGATAACTTACACGTGGACGTGGACCACAAATCAACAACTGAGAAAAGAACTTGGTGCACAATAATAATTGTACAAAACTAAGAACAATTTTGATAACTAAGAAATAGGACTCCTTTTAATCTGATTCTACATCTTTTAAGAGCAATAATAATCTTCACAATTCTGCCTATCAACTCAGCCAATGAGATTTATTTTCAACCAGTTAGTCACTTAACCCTTTAACAATATCACTGAATATTTAAAACATTTTAAAATCCTCTTATGAGCAGTTACATGTAAAATATTTTCATGACATAGGCCTTAGTTACCCAGCTTGGCAAAGGTCTTGAGTTTGAGGTTGACAGTAACTTATTTTGTTGAAATGAGATCAACAGTTTGGATAGAGATTGTCCCAATCAAGAAAGTTCTATTGTGCAGCACTTTTGTAACTAAAGCTTACTCTTATTTAGGATTTCTACTTTCAAATAATAATTATTTATAACAAATGATAATGAATTACATGATTACAAATCACCTTCCCAAATCACCTAAGATCAAAATGTCTCTGAGTCTCAATTTCCTTTCTTATAAAATAAAGGGTTGAACCAAATGGTCACCAGACTTAACATATTTCAATACTTTATAATAATCCAATGTCTAATTAAACTTATACTTAAATTATAGGGTTTTATAGTTTGGCAGTTCCTTAAGAACTAAACATAAAATTAACCATATACCCTGCAATTTCACTCCTGGTAATACCCCCAAAGAATTGAAGGCAGGAACTTGACACATAGTTGTATATCAGTGAGTATAACAGTATGATTCACAAAACCCAAGAGTCATAAATAACTGAAGTGTCCATCAACAAGTGAGTAGTATAAACATACAATGGAATATTATTAACAAAAAGGAATGAATATTGATATATGCTACAACACAGTCATCCACTGAGCAAATACTTAGAATGTCCATGTTCCAATTATAAATGACTGTAATAATGGAGGATATTGGGAAAGTGGGTGGGCAGATGTTTCAGGTTCTTACCATCTTCGGTATCACATTCAATATATAACCGTATCTGGGAGTGGTAATGCTCAATGTGATCATGTGGTAGGTGAGAGAGAGTTAATACAAAACACCCCTGTCATTAAGTTCTTAAGTTAACCTGAGTTGCCACGCAGGACAGATGCTCCTAACTATGCTCCTGACTATGTCTTCATCCGTTAACCCTACAATTCATGATTCCATGTTCAATGACATTCTAAACTATTTCCTTGCTTCTGATCTGAATCCCCCTTTAGAGTAAAAATGTACCTGCCATTTGAAATTCAATCTAGTTCAAGATTTTTTTTATAAATTCAGCATCATTTGTCAGCCTTATAAGTTTAATTAAGTGACCCAACCAGGAGAGATGATCTGCTATTGGCTTTCTGAAAACAATAGCTCAGTGTACTTAGCCTATTAGACCAGCCTGCACTGTGACGCTTCTATTTACACTTTCTTGTAGCTGGGATGACAGGTGTACCCCACCACACACATTCATTGGTTGAGATGAAGTCTCTCAAACATTTTGCCCACTGGCCTCAAACTGAGATCTTCCCCATCTCCACCCTCCCAAGTAGCTAGACTTACAAGTATGAATCACTGCATCCCACCTAGAGACTTTTTTATACTCAATGATACTATACCAGTCCTATGAGTGCTGAGGGAAACAACTCTTCTCCAACTTCTGATACTGAAAACAGACAATTTATCTCAAGACTATTTCACAATATGGTAAGAAGAAATAGGCACTGTAGGCAGATCTATTAGAAGCCAAAAGTAATAAAAATATAATTCCTATGGATAAATGGGGCAGTAAAAGTAGAAAGGCTACAATAAATTGCTCCAAGCCTGATGTCAGAAAGAAAATCACTCCAATACATGGAAATTCTCTCACTATCACCCTGATTACAAAAATCATGTGGAAAGAACAAACAATGAATATATTGAATATATTATAAGGATCAAGAAAAGTGTTTGATCTGGTTACTGTCTTGGAGTGATTTTCAAGGGTGGAAAAATTGTTTAAAAAGTCCATTTTGAGAGTCACTTTCTTTTGCATTACTGTTATTGTGAAACCACTTAATGTTTGCAACATTTTTCTCACATCAGCCAAACTAAAAATACAAAACAACCAACATAAGGAAAATTCTACTTCCTGTTCGTCTGCATTTTTTTGTTTGTTTGTTTTTTGGATTTTTTCTTGGCTGTGGCTGAAAGAGTTGAAATTTTATGTTGCAATTACAGTTTTCCCCTTTTGGAGTCCCCTTGTGGCTCTGTTGAAAGCCCACAGCTGCCTTAATCCTCCATGTGGGTTGGTGTAAAGATGACACATACAAAACCACATTTACCACCAGAATAAAAAGAAGAATGCATACCTCGCTCAAATTTTAACCGCTGATAAAGCTGAAACTGATCCACAGGTACCAAACAGGCAATCTGAAATGAGAGACATTAGAGGTGAGATTTCAGTCATCATAGGACCATGAGTTTCGAGTCCTTTACAGAAATTACTGGCTTTTCTTACCCTCTCTCTTCCAGTTGTTTGCCAAATTCTTTTTCTCCACAATGTCCATACAACCATTCTCAAACTATCCCCATCCCTCTACCACAGTGAGGAAACACTGTTCAAGACATTGATTTGTTGATTGCCTTCTATTCTTTGACCAGCAGCTACTATGACCAGGCAACCAAATTTCATTATTTGGACCTCCCACATTATTTGTGTTTGTAAATAAAAGATGTTCCTTTCCTCTTTACAATCATTTAAGAAATTTTTAAGAAAACTACAGTTCTAGCCTCGGATCCTTAAAAAATAAACCAAGTAGACAGAGACTCAGGAATTGACAGGCTTATTTGTCACCTAGCAAATAGTATTTCCTAAAAGATAAAAAATTTTCTTCTGCAAAAATCACTTCATAGAGCCCTACTTATCACACATTGACACCTCAGACCCTGATTGAAAAGAAGTACCTTAGACATTTCTTATGTCTTGCCCTCTATTTCCATTTCTAATGGCAAAATGAACCAACATTTACAAGTAAACAACAGTCATTCATACCTAACCCGGTGACATTTGAGACTAATCATTTTTTACATTATATATCAAAGGTAGATACAAGAAAAGCCAACTGCTCTTAAGCTGGCATTCTAAAAATGCTAATTCCATGGACGTCAAGACATAAGATTACTATCCATGTTGCTATAGCTGAGAAAATAAAATGATGTGATATTAGACTTCCAGAAATTCAGCAAATTGATACAGAAAACAGTCTTAGTCTTGTTTTTTGGGGTAGAGTACATCTAGATGGAAATTCTTATAACTAATGAAGCAAAATCTACTTATAGAAAACTGGAGTAAGAAGATGATGCTAAAATTGCATTTAACAAATATAATAAAACTCCCCTGTGTATATATACCACATTTTCTTGATCCATTCATCAGTTGTAGGCACCTGGGTTGTTTCCAGAGCTTGGCTATTGTAAATAGTGCTGCGATGAACATCGGTGTACAGGTGTCTCTATTGTATCCTGTCTTATGTTCCTTTGGGTAGATGCCCAGGAGCAGTATCACTGGATCATATAGCACATGAACCTATTTTTAATCCCTTCCCCTCAAAAGCTATTTGAGATTGCTGATTCTATGGGACAGTCCTGTACCACACTTACCCCATCTAAAATAGTTTGTGGAATGATGCAAATTTTTTTTTAAATCTGTCAAAGTCAACCCCTAAATATTCTAATTTTTCAATGAAGAGCAATTTCTGTACCCGTTAAGTCACATATAGTTTATGGGAAATGGGGTAATTAGTAGATAAAATGTTTTAGACACAGATGAAATGCTAATGAGAAAAATGATAGAAATTAATGCAGTAAAAAGCCACTTACAATAGGGATGCATGTTTAATTTTAAATTAAAAAGATAAATTTCATCAGAGTATACATTACTAGGGAAGTCACAGATCTTTACTTTTTGTCTCTTACTGTAGTTTGAATCTCTCACTTATTGTTTCATAAGCCAAAGGATTATAATGAAGTAGACCTTAATAGAGTAAACCAATTTTCCCATTGAAAGCTGTGATCCCAAAAAGTTGATTACTTTTGGAATAAAGGTAACTCCCAGAACACACCCATTTTCTTCATCCCTGACCTATAGATTGGAATCTTCTTCATATGCTCATTACAGTTCACCACGGACAAAGCACTGGGCTGGATACCTGGACCACCCAAAAGGAGATAGAAAAAATATGCTCAAGGAACCAAAATGACTCAGAAGACAGTATACACATATGAGATTCAGGAGGACCTACTCCTTAATATTGTCAACTGTTGGATTTTTCACATTAAGACTAATTTTCTGAAATGTTTCCTATAATGTTTTTGGTCTTAGATAAGAGAAAAATGGACCTTGTTAAATAAGTAACAAAAATGCTGCAAAGTATTAAATTCTAAGTGTCATTGCTATTTGGAACTAAGTCACTATTGCTTAAGCCTCCATTTTTATAATTAGAAAATTGAAATAATTCTGTTAGGAATATTATTGGAAAATTTATTCAGACTTCAGGTTAAAGATTTCAACCAATTTTGTGAGGATATTCACAAATACTCCAAAATTATCAGACTATTAGACTGACAATCCTGGAGACTGATAAATAAGATTGCAAAGAGTTATCTTGTGATATACTCTTTCTGCCAACAAATTCCTAACCACCCAAAATCACACTAGAATGCTTTTTTTTAACTTTTTAACTTTTTATTTGAAATAATGTGATTTATAAAAAGTTGTAAAATTTGTAGAGTTCCTAAATGACATATCCCCAACTTCCCCTAAAGTCTTATATAACCATAGCTAATTACTAAAACAATGAAATGTACATTAATACAACACAAGTAAATAATTAAGAGGCCTTCTTAAATTTCCCTAATTGTCCCACTAATGCCTTTTGGATCCAATCCAAGCTATCACTGGCATCTAGTTGTGGTGTCTTTTTGGTCTTCTGTGACAATTTCACAGTTTTTCTTTTCGTGACCTTGACATGTTTCAAGAGTCAAGGTCAACAATTTATACAGTGTTCTTCGATTTGGATTGCCTGATGCCATTCCACTAGATTGGGATTGTGCATTTTTGACAAGAATGTCAGATGTGATTTTGGAACCATTAGAAGATACATGAGGACAAAGCAGTGGCTCATGCCTGTAACCCTAGCTACTCACAAGGCAGAGATCAGGAGGATCACAGTTCAAAGCCAGCCCAGGCAAATAGTTTATGAGACCCTGTCTCGAAAAAAAAAACATCACAAAAAAAGGCTGGTGGAGTGGCTCAAGGTAGAGGCCCTGAATTCAAATCTCAGTACTGCAAAAAAACAAAAAGAAGGTACATGAGGACACCATTGCCTTATTACTGGTGGTATTAATTTCTTAACTTGATTAAGGTGATATCTGCTAGCTTTCTACATTCTTTGCAATTAGCAATTTGTAGAAAATGTTTTAATTGCCTTATTACTGGTGGTATTAATTTCTTAACTTGATTAAGGTGATATCTGCTAGCTTTCTACATTCTTTGCAATTAGCAATTTGTAGAAAATGTTTTAATTTAGGATCTTTAAGATAGCACCCCTTCAATAATTAGGAGACACAAAAGATGAAAATAAGGTTTCATTATTTACAGGTCCTGGAGGATACACAGCATACCTGAAGGACACACGAAAGTCACAAATTGCAGACAGGAAAGAACAAGGACCCATGGGCAACACCTTTACTTGGTTCAGGACATTATCCAAACAGGTTTTACATGAGGTTCTAACTGGTAGGTTTAGAACAGACCCAAGTTCCAGGATGTCACACTGTGACTTACAGGTGGTCACTGTGGCATATCTACATTTGGTATATAGAAGCCAGTAAAGCCACTTAAGTAGGCTGAATTTAGCTGTCCCTCCTGGGAGCTATCCCAGGAGGAAGCTGTATGAAGCAGATTTCTGGACTGACCACATTGAGGAACTGGGAGGAGGAACAGAACTGGAAACTATGTCAGGGGTGACTAAGCCATGTTTCTGGTATGAGAAACTCCAACTTGTACTCAAAATGAATGCTGAGGAAACATAAAATTATTTCACTACAGGTGGATACTTTCAGACTATGTAAATCCTGTTCCTTGTTAGCATTTGCTCTCTTTTTTTAAAAATTTTTATTGTTTTATTATTCATATGTGCATACAATGCTTGGGTCATTTCTCCCCCCTTCCCCCTACCCCCTCCCTTACCCCACACTCTGCCCCTTCCCTCTCCCCCCCATCCCCTCAATACCTGCAGAAACTATTTTGCCCCTTATCTCTAATTTTGTTGAAGAGAGTATAAGCCATAATAGGAAGGACCAAGGGTTTTTGCTAGTTGAGATAAGGATAGCTATACAGGGAGTCGACACGCATTAATTTCCTGTGCGTGTGTGTTACTTTCTAGGTTAATTCTTTTTGATCTAACCTTTCCTCTAGTTCCTGGTCCCCTTCTCCTATTGGCCTCAGTTAGCATTTGCTCTCTAATTTTAGTTTCTATTGACAATTCTCCCCCCAGAATTTTACTGTGGCATTTGCTTAATAATGCTTCCTGTTTCTACCACTCCTTCTGAACCCAGAGATTAGATTTCTGCTGCAGTGCTAGATAGGAGCAAGAAACTCTAACCTGCTATTGCACAGAAGGATGACTACAAATAACAATAATGTGTTGTACACTTCAAAAAGCTAGAAGAAAGTAACTTGAGTATTTCACCATAAAGAAATGATAAATGTGAAATGGTGCACACCTGCTATCCCAACCTATGCAGGAGTCTGAGATTGGGAAGATCATGGTTCCAGGAAAGCCCAGACAAAAAAGTTTTCAAGACCCTATCTTATTGGATGGGTGTGGAGGTATGTGCCTGTCATCCCAGCTACTGAAGGAAGTGTAAAATAGGAAGATAGGGATCCAGGGCAGCCTAGAGAAAAAAACAAGACACTATTTCCAAAATAACCAGAGTAAAAAGAGCTGTTAGAGTGGCTCAAATGGTAGAACACCTGCCCAACAAGCAAAAAGTCTGGATTTCAAACCCTAGTACCACAAAAAAAAGTAATGATAAATGTTTGAGGAGGTATATTTGACCTGATGTAAACATTATACAATATACACATGTATTGAAACATTGCATGGTACCTCCTGAGTATGTACAGTTTTATTTTATATACCCATTAAAAATAAATTTAAAGAATTCTACTTTTCTATTTCCCCCATTTATTTACTTATTTCTTTTTTAACTTAAGTCAATGTATAGAATACTGAAACTTAATCTATTTAATATATTCTAATCTATTATTATCCAGACCCATATTTAAGCAGTAGTAAAACTGTCTGAACATCTTGAGTTGTCCAGAGACTACTTCCCTCATCTCAATGACCAAAAAAGTACTTAGT